GGGTCGAGAAGCTTTAGGGTGCTATGGATATTAGCATTAGTTGGATTGGATTGGGTTGGTTCTTGATTGTGTCATTTTGAGAGAAAATGTGTGTGTAGGGGGAGGGGGAGGGAGGAGATACTATTTCACCCAGCCAAACCCTAATCTGGAGAGGAGATTTTTTTTTAAGACAGAGACGCATTTGAACCCATCGACAGTCATATTATAGTACTGAGAACATTAAAAAGCACATGCCCACCCCACCTCCTCCTCACACAAAAACATTTCATTCATCCAAACCCTATTCTGATGAGCAGATTGTTAGTATTTTTTTAAAGAAAAAGACGTAAGTGGACCCATTGGCAGCGTATTATTATTGTACAGCGAGAAAAAAGAATCACCCCTTCCCTCCTCTCTCCCCCACCCCCTCCCATACACCTACATACCTGGAGCTGGGAATACATCTTCAGTTCAGTTCCAAGGTCAAGTAATGTAAAATTTATTTTTTTTAAACGCATGAGGCGTACACGCACTCACCGTGGTATAGCTTTCAATAGCCTTGCGGTAGTCTCCATTCTTGAACAGGGCATCTGCCTCGGCTTTGTAGATCTCATAAGTTCCTGGAAGTCCGTCCGACTCATCGTCTCCGCCAGCACCGTACATTATTAGTTTGTTTGCTTGTTTGTTTACGTTTCTCTTTTAAAAAATTGTCTTCCCATTCATCAATAAATTAACACAAGGAATTGTTTTCCACTTTTTTTCACGGATCCGGGGTATATCCAACTTCAGCTTAGTTTAGGTATTGATAAAGTATTGTCTAACTACCCTTAGTTCCTCCGATGATGAGCCAGAAAAGAGATGTCCAAAGTGTATCTTGTGTATAGACATCTATTGCAGGTAACTGAGAAAAAATGAAGGAAATTCTTACACGACGCAAAATGTGTTCACTTCTATACTCTCATGGTGCGCCGGTTGAATTTCTTCTTCCGGTTAGGTAGGCCTATGTGTCGATAGTATGTGGGATTACTTGCTTGGCAACGAGAGAGAAGGAAGGAAAGTGTGAAGGAGATGGGGTGGAGAAAGGGAGAGGGACTTAGAGAGCGACCAGTTAGTGGCCCGGGGGGGGGG